TATGAGACTGTGATTATATTTTTTTAAACAATGTCTATAACATTGTTCCTTTTTTATCCTTGGTGCATAATGAAAATACTAATTCAACATCTATAGTAATACCATTTCACATGTAAACATTATTACATAGCGAATTTATGACATTACAGAAATACAGTGAGAGTCCATTTACCTGCATATGCATGGACATCTGCCTGCGTCCATAGTCAGCCCTGCTGTAGTCGTCACTGTAGCTATGTGAGTGGATGATGCTGGGTTGTCCCAGGTGACCGTCCCTGGTCCTGAGGGTGGACAGATCCTCACTGCGAGAGAACCCTCCATGGGCGAACTGTGGGATGTAGGACTGGTGAGAGGGTTCGGGCTCTGGGGCCAGGAGAAGGGGTGCGGGGGGTTGAGCCCGGCTGTGCTGGTGATGGAGCTGTTGCTGTTGAGGCCCATCAGCAGTCGCCAGATGAAAGAGGGGATTCTGGAAGGAAAGCGGGTAGCGCATGGCGGCGGCCTGCTGTTGCTGCTGCTGGGATAGCGAGTCGGTGGTGGTGCCCATCTGGCTCAGCTGGCTCAGCCGGAGGCCACCGGACATGCTGGAGCCGCCAGAGCCAGCTGACAACCTCCCACCGGCCCGCAGCTGGCTGCTCAGGCCCGACCCCAGGCCGCCACCGCCTCCGCTGCTCAGCCCGCCGAAGCTGCCCATACCGGCGATGGAGGCCTGGGAGGAGTTGAGCATGTCCACCGACTGCAGGTTAGACACGCTGTTCATTCGGGAATCCTGGAGGTCCATCATAGATACGCTTTTATTGACACTGAGCACCTAAATAATAAGGGATATGAGAGGCTAGTGTGCCCCCTGTTATTGCTTATGTTAGGTGGCCACGGATGATGGGTGAGGGTGGTGCGGGTGTTTTTACCGCGAGGCCTGCCTGGTTATCGGAATGCATCAAAGTATTTCCCAGGAAATACCGCTAGGATGAGTTGCGTGGTGAATCAGTGGGAAAAAAGCAGATGTCATGATATACTAGAGCCTCGATCACACGATGGCAGATTCTTACAGTATGACCAACATGCACGTCATACTAATCTCACCTTGATAAAGGCAAACCTAGCGGATGGGATGGTGATTCCCCGAGTCAGTGTGGTAAAACTCACCTTAGGATCAGGTTCTGTGATATCCGAGCTGCTCGTGCAGTACGCTGGGCTGGATCGGGCCAGGGGAGGGCGTGATACGTAAAACATGTCTTTGGAGGATGCTCGATGAGGATGGTCACGGTCCTGAAAACTCATCTGGGTACGAGATGGCATGACCCCTCCGGTGGATGTAGGGGAAGGCAAACGGGTGATATCTATAGAGCTGGAGAACAGCAGAAACAGGAGGTGAGGAGTCTAACAAACTCTACACTCTTCCCCTATGAACAGTTTATTTAGACACTATATTACTATATTATTATGATTGCAAGTTGAAAGCTAAATACAACAGCGCTGGAAGAAGCATCTGAATCGTTTCTTCAGTTGGTTAAAATCAAGACTGAATGCTTCCTCTGTTATTAAACTAGGATGTATCACTCTATCAGGCTTTTATCTATAACTAAATTCAATGTAACAAGCAAATGTGCGGTGTGTGGAAAGGGCGAGAAGGTCCTTGAACATAGGTACGCTGCCACAATTACATAAACATGAATTAAATATCTTCTCCATCTTGCTCTGGTCATGCCGACTATTTTTACAGTTGTATGCAGTGTTAAGATAAGTTCAGTGGTTCTGAACATAAAGCTGAAATCCCCTCTATAGAGTCACTGGAACAATCGGAAGTGGATTAATCTGATTAAAATTACGAGTACGAGGGTAAGGGGAAAGTTCTGCTGCAAAAATCTGTATTTTCTTCCTCTAATTTTAGGCTTTTGGAAAAATTTTGTTGGATGTTGTTACCTTAAAATGTTATTTAAATGAAACCTTAGTAAGATGTCTCTCCGAGGAGATCTAGGCAACCGAAAGTTGCCATGTGGCACTAGACAGAAAAAACAAGGCTGCATGCAAAAAGGTTCAAGGCCAATTTTCTTAAGCAGCGCTCTGCATTTTTAAAATAATGACACAGCTTTTTCATTGAAAAAAATTAGCTAAAAAAACAAATCTCCAGCTGTTACATAAATGTAGTGCAGAAAAAAGAGCCACATCTCCTGTAGTATTTTTACCTACTACTGCACAACAAGGAGAAAAGCAGCATTTGTTGAAAGCCTTTTTCAAATATGCACTGCAGCCCCAAACTTTCCTAGACTTCACTTGGCAATGGTAACCACAAGAAGGCAAATGTAAGATGCAGTCAGATGATGGATGTCCTTTGCAAAAGTATTTCCAGTAGTGGGAAACTGCATCACTTAAAAAGAACATCTTCTGGATTTTATTCTCTTGACACTCTGTGAAAACAACTCAGGTTTCAGCGTTTGAAACTGTTTAAAGTCTCAAATGTTCCTACCTATTAAGATCCCTCATCATGAGATTTTGGAACTCAGAAGAGATGCCCCTGTTGAAGCTGGGCCGTGACAGCAGCCTGTCCGACTGTCTACCGGGCTCTCTGTCTGTCTGATGGCTGGGCTGCCTCTGGAGGTGTGGGTTACGCAAGGCCATGCTGATGTCATTCAGGAGACGAGGCAAAGGACCCAGTTTGATGATGGCATCCTGTGGTTGGAGGGAAAACAAAAAGAAATGGCACTTTAGCTACATATTCATTAAAAACATTTTTGTGTAATCTAATGTAAGTGTTTTTCAGTACGTCCATCTCATTCACCACGCACTGGAAATGTAATCACATGGAGTCTGATTTTGTGAAACATTTGAGGTGAGAAAACAACAAGACATTTTTTTTAGATGCAGCTTTTAAAACCGAGTCCTAACAATACACATCGAATCTCAGCACGGCTTAGTCTGGCTGCACAATGTAAGCGATGTACTGTGTTATCAGAATGTTATCAACTGAACTCTGGCAATTCAATTTAAACTGTAATTATGTTTAGTTTTTAGTTTTACTTCACTTATTTTATGACATTATTTCACTTGCATGTGAGAAAGTACAATGTTGTTTTCCAGTTCCAGAGCAGCATGATTAGGAATGCAGCAGTATTATTACATATGAAACGACTACTTTGATGACTATAGTAGGTTAAATTCAGGATACTGTAGCGATAAATAACCCACTGTGGAGTTTTTTGACATATCATTTGATTTTTACCTGTATGGTTGCAGTTTATAACAACAGATATGATGCTTTGTGTTTACCTTGCTGAGCTGAGCCATGACCTCCCAGAGGAGACTGTGCAGTATAGACAGCTCCCTGCCCAGGTCGATGTAGCCCTCAAAAGCGCCTGCATTGCTGACACTGTCCAGGTTGGAGATCTCGTAGAGGAACTGCTGCATGGAGCCCCACTCCATTTCTAAAAACTCATTCATGAAACACATGTACTCCTCTTTGCTTCCAAACCTGCAGGTGGGAACAGACAGAACGGGGCGGGGGGGACATATGTGTGTGACAGGGAAAGTGGTAGAAAAAGAACTGAAAAATATTTTAGCAGGGAAATTAAATTGTAGCTACACTCATAATCTTTGATTTAATAATAGTTTTTTCAAATAAATGTCTTTAATTTCAACTGTTTTTGTATTAAAGCTCAAATTTTTAATAGTTTTGGGCACTGTAAAGAAGAAATATCAAACAATTAAATGCATAAATTCATTTATTTATTTGTTTTTGTCATTGATGGTCAGCTTTTTTCCTTCCCTAAATACATGGATTAAAAAAACAGAATTATTTTCATAAAGTTAAATATATGAATGAAATGAAATAAAACTGACTTGGAGAAGTTAGCCAGGTTTTGCACTACTTTAGCGATGAGGGTGAGTGTGCGTGATGTCTGCTCATCTGGATACTCCTGGGTGAGGTTGAAAAGCGATGGCGACATGATAGCAGGACACAGGAAGCGCAGGAAAAGAGAACCGCTGATGAGGCGGTCAGCGATGTCTTCTCGACCCCTCTCAGCACAGCGCACTCGCCAGGAGGCAAAGACTTCCTTCAGCTCTCGAGGGAACACACTATAAAGCAACATAAAAGGTTTCAGGACAAACTAGGTACATTTAGATATTCCACCGAGAAGCTGTTTAAAAGCCTCATCTATCTTTATTATAGCGAAGAGAAACAAACACAGTCTAGTAAAGGAGTTGCTTTTTTTGCATTATTAACTACTCACCAATGGGAATTAACAATCTTGCAGAGTGCCAATTCACAGCACATTCGAAGATTGGCTTGGTGGTCTGGTAATACAGAGGGTGGTATTCTCATGGGGTCAACTTCACAATTTTCTTCTGACTCATACAAGGCCCTTATGAACTCCCCTGCAAGAGACATTTCATTAGCAACAAGTTTCAGTGTTATTAATAAAGAAAACAACATCCACAACAAGATTAATATGAAAGAAATCAATTATGAGACAACAAACCGAGCATTGCCACACTGCCACACTATGCTGTTTAAGTAGTCGTAGGTGAGGAGCTGTCTTATTGGCCAACAGCAAATTGCAACAGTAGTTACTTTTAGCTCAAAGTATTTTCATACCAATATAGCATATAGAAAACAATTCTCAGAAATGGACTGCTGAGCAGAATTCACTGCACTGTAGTATTATTATTACGAGCACTTAGCACTTACTGGAAATCTCTGGAGAAACTGTCTGTCCCTTTACACTCCTATGCACTACCTTTATGAACACCAAAGCATTAAATGCACTCAGTGTTAGAAAATTAAGAGAAAACTTTACTGAGAAACAACTGAGAAACTGTTTGTCACGGTACTGGGCCATGAGGCCCAGGGTTTAAGTTCTAATGCATATTTTGTATCCACATGTGTAGTTTAACACATCTAGTTGTTTTCTAGTTTGCAGTTTAGTCCTTGGTTTCTTAGTCCCTTTTGTCATCTCTCCCTGGTTCGTGTGTCTACCTGTCGTGTTTCATGTCTCTTGTTAGGTTAAGTTCATGTTCTATCTCCATGTCTCTGTGTTTCCTGTTTTATTTTGAAAGAGTATGGGGTTCTTTGTTCGTTGTAGTTACTGTTACTCTCCCCTGTATTGTCATTATGTTTCCTTCTAGTCAGCTGTGTTCTCATGTGTCTCCACTTCCCCTGATCACCTCATGTGTGTATTTAAGTCCTCAGTCTTCCTTTGTTCGTCGCCGCGTCGTCTGTTCTACTTCCCCCATGTTACACCAGGTTTCAGGACTCTGTGCTGGCCATGTCCATGTTGCTTACGTGAATATGTTTCATAGTTCTTTGTTGTTCCAGCACAGAGTCCTGTTCATAGTTGTCTCCGTCATGTGCGTCATTGTCACCCTGTCTTAGCCTTCCCTGCTGTCTGAGTTAAGTGTCAGTTCTTAGTTTTCCCAGTTCAGTTTCTAGTTTAGTTTTGCCTCAGTGTTTTCTGTTGTTTGCCACGTTAATCAGCCCAAATAAAGGCTCGCTTTTCGTTTCAAGTTCGGTACTGTCTCCTCGTCTGTGTCTGCACCTGGAACCTCACACTCCCACATACGGTCCGCCCACCGCAGACCGTGACACTGTTTATGTTATCCTATATATCATTGTTTACTTGGAGTTAGCTTACCTTTATTTATCCTTTATTTTATGCTGTTTTTTTACCCACCTTTTTAAATTTGATAAAGTTTACGTTTAATTAGGGCTTAAAGTTATGAAATATTAGATGGACTGTGTTATTTATTGTATTAATTGCCCATTTAAGGTGTCTGTAGCGTTATTGAATGAAATGATAGTATTTTATTTGTATGTTACTTATTATTATTTCAAAGTACATCCTGATAATGAAGCCAGCTGGTGTACACTGATCACTTTATTCCACCCTCTTATCTAAATATGATCACTTTTAGCCTGTTAAAAACCAAATGGCCACTGCCATGAAGCTCAAGTTGTCCATAAGACACTGAAGTCTTCATGTTCATCCTACAATCCAGAATAATGATGGCTGAATACAATTATGTTAAATAAGTTCTCGATTTCATATGAACTCAAGCAAACATTCATTAATGAAACCAGGCTAACGATAACAACATATCGAGCTCGTTGCTTCCTCTCAGGAAGTCGTATTTCTCGCCTTTTGAGGAGAGCTGCTTCTTGATCTCACCGCCAACAGACTTGTGCTGAGCTCGGATAATCACATAATTCAATATATCATCAAACTCCACACAGCAGTGCAAAAAAGACACAAGTTTGAGTACCACGAAAAAGTTGAAAATAATAAAATTCCCCAGACCCAACCAAACTATCTTCTGCATGCAAAAACACTAAGGCATGCTGAGAGAAAGTTGGGTCTCTTAAGTAGGATTTTTTCCCCCCTTTAATTAAAAGTTTGGCTATTTCCCAACTTTCAAAAGTTGATCTGCTGAATTTTAAATTGGTTTGAACACAGGAGCGACTAAGTCAAACACTGCAAATGCTCCGACTCACCTATAGCATCCTTGAGGTACTTATGTCCAATCAGTTTGAGGTACTCTTCTATGGCTTTGGTGGCCAGAGTGTTCTCTCTGAAGATAAGGTGTTCTCGGTCGATGAATCTGTCTACCTCACACATTGCCATGTCCGATAGAAAATCCTGGAGAAAAGGGGAACCGAGTTACTATTTTCCTCCTAAAATAGTGTTTGTCAAGTAGAGGACTCAGTGATCCCATACCTTAGCTTTCCCTGTGCTCTGAAGTATATGCACCAGAGCACAGGCCACTTCCTCTTTGCTCTTGACACTCAGCACAGGCTCCAGCACAGCACACAGGGTGCGGTAGTTATTAGTGACATACTCTGCAAACTCCTTATACAGCTCCATGGGCAGGATGTTCATGGTCTGAAAGCGGGATTTGAGGCGTAGAGATGCATTGATGATCTTCCCTCCTCCGACACCAGCTCCCTTGGTGAGAACGCTGGGCTGGATGACCGGGTACCACTGCTCCACAAACTGACGTCCGGTGATGCTTGAGATGGGGATGCTTACGAGTCCTAAGTATGTGCTCTTTTCCTTAGACGTGAAAAGCAAAAACAAACATTAGCTGTGGTAAAGAAACATTGTTTCTTTCAGTTCTGCATAGAAATATTTTAGAAAACTAATCTGAAAGTCGGAAATGTCAAAAAAAAGTTCATTTTAAGCTTCAGCAATGAATTAATTATGAGCAGCAGGACTAACGCTGGATCCCCGGAGTGCTGTTTGAAGCTAGAGCTTTACTGTGGCAGCGTTACTCTTGTACTGAGCTGAAAATGAGAATGACTGGTTTTGTGACTCAGTATTAAGTCACTTACTTCTTAAGTGCTAATGTTACACCTCACAGTATTACTCATGCATTTGCTTTATCTTTTAAATTGAAGTGTTTTCACTTTTAGTAAGAATCTACCCTGTCACCACAGGTGATTACCTCTTTACCTGTGGTATACCCCAAGGTTCAGTTTTAGGTCCTGCTATATTTTCTATCATATGCTTCTACCAGCTCTTAGTACTGTGCAGCAGATACACAGATATACCTTGCTGGAGACCTCTTGACCCTAAAAGCATAGCTGCTTTTTCAGTTTCACCTCTGTAGCACTGACTGCTCCATAAATAACATGACATCTCAGTCCTACAAACCTTCCATTGTAAAGCCCACTAACAGACATTTGGAAATACCATTTGATTCAGCTTTGAACCACACATTGAGAGCAGCTGTTCAGATCTGTCTGCATCTCAAAAATAAAACCAATGCTCTCACACAATTCATGCATTTATTTTCTCATGGCTGGACTACTTCATCTCCCTCTTTTGGGGCATACATGAAAAGTCACTCTGCCCTGAAACTAGCTCAGAAAGTTCCCTACTGGTTACACGGTCCTGGCTTCTCTCCACTGGCTTCTTGTGCATTTTGCAACTGATTTTAAGAATTTACTGATCACAATTAAAGCACATCTGCGGCCGCAAGCTATGCAGCAAAACAGTTGGCCCAATTTGAACTAGTTCATAGCCTTAGATCCTCAGGTAGGTCCTTCAAGCTGTTCCAAAGTCGAGGCTGAAATCTAAAGGCGACTGTCGGGATTCTTTGACTTTAGAACAACCTGGCTGAGTAAGTACGGCTCAGACAATCAGGGAAATCCTTTAAATTGTGTCCTACAACACTGGCTTGCAGATTTCACTTTATGCGATCTATTTTATTTATATTTTTAGTATTATTTATCCTTTGTTTTGTTTGTTTGTTGTTGTTTTTTTTGCCTCTCTTGTCTTATTTAGTATCTTTTCAGGACTTTTATTCTTTTATCTATATATAAGTATCTATATTGACATTTTGCATTTGCATTTCTGTTTCCTGTTTTGTCTTGTTGCTGTTATAACTATTGCATTTAGTTTATCCTGATTTTGCTTTGCTTTGTTATTAATGATGTTATATAAATAAAGCTAGTATAATTAATGTTGTTGATGTAGATATGATAATAAGAAAATAAAAAAATAAGTCGATAAAATTCAACTTTAGGATATTTCAATTGTATTCGTTTCAACAACTTTAAGTTAATATAAATGACTCATTTTCAGACCTTTATGCTACCCTACAGTTCTCTGTGTCACCTTGCGTCTCTTCTTGTCTGTCTCCTTGTATAGATGAAGGCGTAGGTTGCGGACAGCTGGCAGGTTGTTGAATTCAAAGTGCTCGCCCCAGAAAACGGTGTCGGTGCGGGGCTTGCTGGTGGTGCGTGCATACAGCATGTCGTCCAAACATAGTTCGCAGTAGTATCGTTTCTTTGCTGGAAGCTCGCGGGCCTCTATGATCCACAGTTTGAGCACATTGTCCACCCTCCGGCTGTTGTCCTGTGTGGAGAGAAAGTCAGGTCAAGCAAGGTCAAGCATGTCTGATAAAACATTTAAAAGCTTTACAAAGACAAGATGATACAATGCAGGAGGAAACATGACAGACGGCAAAGAAAAAAAGACGTGGAAGCAGAGAGAGTGTGTGCAAATAAAAGGCGACAGCAGGTCAGCCTGCAGGAGAAAAGAGTAAATGACAGGAAATAAATGTCTGGTGACATGGCGGTTTGGCTACTATGATAGTGGGTTGTACTTGATAAATTGCTCTCAACTCTCATCTTGGATACAGAGACAGAAAACAGCATGAGAAACACACAAGAGAAAGAGAACAGAAAATAATGAAGAAGGATTCTTTTTATGGATAAAACAAAGTAATCCCCTTAGACATAGAAAAAACACAAATGACACAATACACATGTGCTGCAAACACAATGGACTAAAAATGCTCCTATGGACTGCTACATTCCCTAATCATGATCACAAAGCCCAGCTATATTTGACATCCCCCATGGGAGGAGAGAGTGCTCTGTTGATTACAGAATGATGTTTCAGTAACTGGGAGTCATTTCAATTGGGCTCAAATGCCACTGTTGATGGCCCCCCTGTTTGCTTCAGACTATTTAAGTCCTAATTTAGACGGCCAAATACGTGAGCATCATCAAGATCAACAGCTCTAACGTCTCCATTTGTATGCTCTTTGATAACCAGCGCCAAACACAAGGCATAATTAATTCCAGACCTCTGAGTTTGAATGTGCTGGGCATCTGGTGGCTCAGTTTGCTAGTGCACATACAGTGCAGCAGAGCCAGCATGTGCTCAAGTCCTCTACCTTGATATTATGTTACACATTCCCTTTTGCCAGTATATTTCAATTGTATTACCAAAAGACTAGTGGAATGTTAAATTAAGGTGTAATAAATACTTTTTTCCTGAAAACCAAGCAATCACGGGCAAAAAAAGGAATTAAAAGACTCTAGAAAATTACAAAGAATAATGATAATCCTTCTCTCTGCAGTTAGTCTTATCGCTTATGGTGCATCTGGTCTGAGAAGAAGAGTGCGTGTTGTTTTGGGGGAGTAGGAGGAGAGATTTTGGAGAAAGCGCCTGTTTGGAGTCCTTGGAGCTCCGTGACTCATCCAGGACCCCTGCGGCCGCAGCATCTGGACGAGGCGTTCAACTCTGGTGATGTTTCATCTCAGACCCGCTTAATAACCCTTTAGTCTCTGGTTGCCATCTAAGCTGCGTAACTCACATGTCTGCTCACTTTTAACAACACTGAGGGGAAAAATTTAGGGAGAGTTTTACTTTACGATGGAATTTGGATTAAAATTAGGATATTAATTATATATGGAGCGAGCATGAAGGGCGATAAGTCTTTTTTAAGATGTGAAGACGCAAATAACATTATAGTACCTTAAAGCGACACTGGAAACGACTTTCCATATGAAAATACACCATCTTGTGGTGTTTAAAAAATACAAGTATATCATCTGCAAAAACTGGTGTCAGATACAAGCACATGGAAAACGAACCTCATGTTAAAACAACATCATGCATTTAATTAAATTGCTTGATTTAACCTCATAAATGTGTCTGTTGTCCTGTCTTCCTCCTTTACAGACGGCTGCTCCTCCCTGAGCCTAGTTCTGCTGGACGTTTCTTCCTTTTAAAGGGACGTTTTTCATTCCCACTGTTGCCAAGTGCTTGCTCATAGGGGGTCATTTGATTGTTGGGGGGTTTTACCTTACAATATAGAGTGCCTTGTTGTTGTGATTTGACGCTATATAAATAAAAGTTAAATTGAATTTTTCAGGTTCACAAAATAAATGATTATTAGCATAATCAGTCCTGTAGTGGTTAATGTTTTGAGATCAGGAGGAGATAGATAAAGTGCAGCATCCACAGTAAAATATGAGGCTCCATCCATTGTAGCAACTAAGCATGACCAGTGCCCCGAAAATTGACTTTTACTAGCAAGTCTGCCTGCACTGCTTATATTTTCCAAAGGAAAATAAAGGCAGACAACGTTCTCCATAGATGCAATAATGATATAGTCTTAATCAAATATTAATTTGGGAAAGTTGCCTGTCTTACGTATGATAATTTTATGATTAGACAATCCGATTTCAGGTCCAACAAGTGGGGTTTGCTCTGACAACAAGTCTGGACCACTTGAGAAAAACTACCCATAGATTTTTACTGCCACAAATTGTCTTGTGGTTCTTGCATGAGGCCCATTGTCTGTAGAGAGCAACAATAAAAGACCTAGACTCACGAGTGTTAAATCTTTTACTTCCCTATCAAAGTATCACAGACATGCTGTGCAGGTAAACATCAACCCGCTGTGTTCAATTTACTTATCACATTACCTGATTTGTGGTTTTTCAAAACAGCATTTTGGGTCCTCCCACCATCGACATTACCTTGTGCAGCTTTAATATTTTGCTTGTAGAAGCCACTAAATTGTTCAACACAGACACACACAGACACGAGGATGGAGTTCACACAGAGAAATGAAGCGGTGCGCTCTTATTGAAAACACACAACAACGGGAGACGGGGAGGAGAGAGAGAGACACACAGACAGAGGGATCATCCTTTTTTCTTCCTCTACCGCATCCCTTTCTCTCCCCTCACCTTGTTGGGCTTGACAGCTCTCTGCAGGTTCTCGATCCATTTGTCTCTCTCTGCAGCTGAGCGACACGCAAAGCACTTGGTTCCCGATGCCGTAGTCACCTGAGGTTAGCCAATGGTAAATTCAACAACCACAGCCATTAGTCACTATGGAGACTGCAACTAAAGCGCCAAAATAATGACTTGTATTCACTCTCAACCTCTGTCATGTTCCACTAATGAACAGGTGATGGAAAAGCTGAGAGGACTTGGCTCATTTAAATGTCCTTATTTTCATTTTCACATTTAAAAAGAAAAGAAAAAAAGCAATCCTATTTGCATTGCACATCACTTTCACTTGTCAGGGTGGAAACAACAGTTTTAGTGTCATTTACTGCTCTGTACACTCTGTGGTTGTGTGCGAGTGTGCCGTGGGCTCTCCGCTGAGCAGCTCAGTTCTCACCTCAAAGCAGTACTCCTGTCCCAGGATGCTCGAGTGCACAGGTTTGATGATAGCGTCCTCGTCCAGAGTGAGGTCCAGGGCCTCAGCGGCACTGCTGGGAGAAAGCAGGGACTCATGGGAGTGGGACTCTTTGAAGCTCTGCATCAAACGGGTCCTGGGAGAGCGAGAGTCGTGAGAGTGAGGAGAGTGAGGAGGCTCTTTTATTAAAGGTCGCTTAGACTTCAGTGTTCAAGAAACTACAGGTGATTTCTTCTTGTATGCTAATTCTCCAAATGTGTTGCTTCACATTTTCATCTTTATCTTGCATACTGAAAAACAGCCAAACGAGTGCTGCACAACATACTGATAATTTTGGTAATAAGCAGCTTATCAACACATTCATCCATTCTCTTAATCATTTATCAGGGTCACAGGGGGACTGGGGCTTATCCCAGCTGTGATTGGACGAGAGATGGCGCACACCATGTACAGGTCATCAGCCTGTTGCAGGGCTATGACACAGAGACAGACAATCATTCACGCTCATCTGTGGCCAATTTAGAATCACAAATTAACCTAACACGTCCTTGGTATGTGGAAGGAAGTCAGGGTACCCCAAAAGAAGCCATGCAAACATGAAAACTCCACACAGAAAGGTCTCCTTTTCTGTGGTCCTGGCTAGCTGGGGTCCTCCTGTGTGGAGTTTTCATTGTCTCCCTGTACCTGTGTGGGTTCTCTCTAAACCTCCTCCCATATATATGTTTGCCAGGTTACTGATAGGCTGGTTAGATAACTGAGTACCCAAAGCATTTTTGTACAACTTGCCTCATTCTCCCATTCATACATTACTTATTCTATGTAAGTGCTTCCTGTCTAACATTCATATTCTGATGGATGCATCAGAGACTGGAGCAGACAGGGATTAGTAGGGGACCTGCTCTACCTTCTGAGCGAGCCCATTTGTGTGCTAGTCCTGTGACAGGTATGTACCCCACCTCTGCCCCACTAATAGCTGGGACAGGCACCAGCCCCACCCAACTGCTTATCAGCAGATCATTTACAAATATATATCAAATATATATATCATCATGCTATGTTTTACATATACAGGTGGCCACTTTAACATTTTCTTACACAGCATAATTATAAGAATAGGATATTTTTGATACGCCTCTCAACACTGATCTACTGTGGTACCTACACATAACAGCTAACCTAGCAAAAAAACAACAATTTTAAATTATTTATTTAGGCACTTTGTTACTATCAGCCTGTCTCTAAAGGACATAATCGGTTCCCAAGAGTTGGCAGTTTGTCTTGTAATCGGAAGGTTGCCGGTTCGAGCCCCGTGTTGGTCGTTGTGTCCTTGGGCAAGACACTTCACCTGTTGCCTACTGCAGAGGGCCCGGTGGCACCAGTGTCCGACAGCCTCGCCTCTGTCAGTGCGCCCCAGGGCAGCTGTGGCTACAATGTAGCTGCCATCACCAGTGTGTGAATGACTGAATGTAGTGTAAAGCCATACAAATACAGGCCATTTACCATTTCTTTAGTTGAGCCTCTAAAAGATGCCAACACAGTTTGACAGGAATAAAACTGTATTTTTGCACCAAAAAGGTAATAATTTAAAAGCTTGCGTATTTCAGCAAGGGGTGACTCAAGACTTTTGCAACTATACACGACCAAGTTTAAATGTCTATATCTGATTTAAGAAGCTGTGGTAAAATGCAGCACAAACAGTATTAACATGGTTTTCTTTACAGCTGCATTCATGGCATTTATCCGAAACATTTTAAATAACCAATTAAACAATTCTTAATAAATCATTAATCCTGACACACATGTGCTCACAGCCCACACTAACAAGCAAAGGAGGTCTGTGCTAAAGCCCATTCATCATCACCTACTCCCACCCACACACACATGTAGAGAAGCAGGTAAAATCATAGACCAACTCAGGAAACAGCCACACAGCCACTGAAACAAACACACGATGGCACAGTGAGTCTAACCAGATAGCCAGGACAGATGGTCAGGTGTGATGAAGCCCTTCAGAGAAGAAAGGGGGACGGTAGATTAGGAAAAAGGAAAGATAGAAAAGAAGCTGTATATCCTGCGCTCTGCGTTCGGTTCTGGGCTTCTCCCCTGTTTGGGCTCAAACTGTTTTTGTCTATGTTCAATCATAACGTTCCACAACAGAGCAGTGATTGCATGTACGGGACTGAGGGGGAGAGAAACATAGAGAGTGAGGGAGAGATAAAAATAGACCCAAAGGAATGAGTCAGATTGAGGGTACCATAGAAGAGACGAGAGGAAGAGTGGGGGAGGTCAGGAGAGGATGTGAGAGAAGGAAAGACTGAGAGAGAAAGGGCTGAGGCCTCAGGGATGGAGGGAGAAGACCTCTCAGTGGAAATCATGTTGATTATGTAAACAGTGGATCCTTTGGAGAGGAAGAAAGTGAGAGTATGGATTAGAGGAATGAAAGAGAAAGGGAAAGGAGGAAGCGCAAGGGTCGGGATGGATGAAGGGATTGAGATGAGAGGAGGAGTGATGGAGGTAAAAAGGAGGTCTATGCAAGGTCTCAGTGGACAGACATAAAAGACGAAACACACACACACATGCATGCAGACACCTTGCAAATAGTCAGTGCATCACAACTGATGAACTACACACCTGGAAAAAAAAACTCAGGGATGAAAGACTAGGAACAAGGATACTGACATTGGGAAGGTGAGCTGAGCTTTGCTGTAGTGATCTAAAAGAGAACAAACCTGACAACAACCACTTTGCAAAGAAAAGCAACTGAACTGAAGCCACTTTTCAATTTCAAATACTAATTAAGCTCAAGACCCATTTCACTGAATTTGCTGCTTTTGTCTTTTATTAAACTGAACATAAAACAAAATGATTGTTGATCAATAAGGTTAGACAAACACTGGCAAAATACAAACTGAAGGCTAATAGTCAAACTGGGTTGTTTGACTCATAATTACTTATTAGCAATAAAACTTAAGCCTAAGCAACGGCTCTCTTCTTTCTTCCAGGTATGCCTCCCATTTCTATGAAACAACATTTATTATGTATTTATTGGTTTATTTTTCTAATTCTTAAGAGCAGGAAGGCAAATATTCTAAAGAGAAGTGCTTCTTTACAGACATTATATAGACATACACTAGATGCTTCATTGATTACTGCTATTTAAAGATGCATCAGCATATTGCAACTGCCATATTTTTACTGGGTCTTCTAATGTGTGTAACTCTATGCACTTGCCAGTTAAATATAGTCATAACTCAGTGAAGTTTGCACAGATATTCTGTGGAGTTTTGGCTTGTTACATATGCTACAACTGCATTTATTCTTGTTTAAGTTTAAAAATGCAAATTTTCATAACAAAACACTTATCTTGTGTTGACTGTAATCACAACAGTCCAGTAATATTATGTTAAAAAATGTTCTACAACTCTGCAGCTGCTTTTTGTGATGTTCTACTATAAAAAAAACAGTGTAAACAGTAAAAACTGAAAGGACTGCTCTCATAATTTTTGTAAATGTTGCTGTCCAGTCCTGCCAAGTTTTGATTTGAACCTAAAGCTACAGATGAGCCATGTAACTGCTTCTCCTCAGTGCTGATGTCCATGCTTAAACACAAAAATAGGTGAGTCTGGACAAGGGTTTACAACACTTAATGCTACTGCAACTACAAAATCAGCTACAAACTTATCAGTTATTGCACATTTTGCTTCTCACTCCTGATATATATGTAATAAATAAGTACTTAAGTAAATGCAGTAATAGGTAAAAACTGTAAAACAACCTTTCAACAGAAGTGTTTGTCCTTTTCTAGAAGCATTTCTTTCATTAAAACTTAAACTGAAAGAAAATCCTTGTATTTTATGCAGGGCTGGATCAGAATCCACAGTCAGACCAGCACCCACCCCAGAGGAGCATCTACATGCATATATGTACAGACAATTCTGAAAACATTTAGGGTAGATGTTGGCACAAGTAATGTGGGGTCATGTCAGCGTCTATTGCATCTTAACAGAGAACTTAATGATGGTTCTACAGAAAAAGGCAGCATGTCTCCAAAGATATTAGATTAAATCATTGGGAGGTATAATGTTTGAGATAAAATGTCATGCTATTTAAGAACTGCGATATTCTAGTGTGAAACAAAGAGACATCCCTTGTGCTACATCATGAATATTACTAATAAAAAAGTTTACAGGGTGTGGCTTCGGTAGTGCAAAGACTTCTTTTCTGTTTCCTGTTTTTGATGTTGAATAGATTTGTGTTTATAATTCTTTGGCAGACAAAAAAGCTATCTCATTACATTATTTAGGCTAAAGATACGCTAATGATGAAGACTTCCACAATTTGAAACCTCAAATATATTAAACAGCTTTAAGAAAAACAAACAAACAAAAAAAAAACAAACAACGTTTTTTTCCTGCAAGACAGAGTACCCTCTGCGACTACACAGAGTAATCCTATGGGGTACTTATGCTGAAAAATCTGAGTGGACTGAAAGATCTGTTAAGTTTGGCTTATTAGTGGGAAGAATACAAAAATTATGTGCAAATATGTGCATCGTTGCAGCTTTTAGAGCCTGTTTGGGAGCTCAGATGCATATTTATGCCTGCATGAAATCCAATCCATGCTGAAAAAAAAGGCAAGCCCTCCCTGGATAAACAAACGTAAAAAAAAAAAAAAAAAGCTGCAGATGTTCACCAGCACCCCTGACAGAAAACACTCAGAGCAAACCAGGAGCTGTGAAAGACGATGGATCAGCCACGAGGGCCTTGGCAAACAACCACGACTTCACATCGCTCTTGACTTTTTTGTCTGTTCAGTCTTCTCAAGTCAGCCGAGGATAATAGACATCCACAAGCTTCCCAAATGAATAAATCATGTGGAAACACACCTTGGCAGACACCTGGCTCTGCAAAGGTGTTAGCACTCTCCTGAGTGTGCTTTTGCCCTCTGTTTGGATTATACAACTGACCTTCACATTTGAAGTTTAAGTTTGCCCTGGGTCTAACTGTCCAGTGGAAGAATACAGAAAAAGTGAATGGACCAAATGAATGCTGAATCAGTCAGTTCATAGATGGTCATTCATTTTCTGTAAGTATTTTGATTTACTGTTCACTGGGGATGGATTTTAAATATTCAAAGAGTCTGTTATAATTAAAATCAAATGGTTTTGTAGATGCATTTTCTCTTGTTTTTATTGATGGCAGGTACTAGATAATGATACTAAATACTGCCAGAAGGTGGCATTAATGAAACGGGGAGTTTAAAAACATGTAAAACAGAGGAACACTTGACAAACTACCAGATGCTGGTTTTTAAAAACTTGCAGCACAGTAAGAGGAGATGATACTGTAAGCAAGAACTGGAGAAATGTGACAATGAAATTCACAGCTGCTAGAAAAGAGAGGAGGGTGAGTCCTGGGTGCAATCTTTGAGAACATTCGAATAGTTCCTGCTGAATACTGAACAGTATTTTTGCTCAACTCAGTTGCGCACATCAGGCTTTTCAGTTTAAAAAAATGCTGCTTGTCTCCATTTTATGTTTGCACTGAAATGTTTTTGAGATATTGTTTTGCTTTTGGACAAAACAAGCTAGAAGATGTCTGTCACAGTGGACTTTAGACACCTCCGAGAAGAAAGCAGAGCTTAATCTACGAAATTATCAGCAGTTATCATTAATGAAAATACAGAAATAGGTTGCAGCCCTTAGCTAAATGCTTTGGATCCTTGCTGTTTACAGGCTGCTTGAAATTAGGCTCAAAACCTTGCACAGTTCCTCATTTATGTTTCTCATATTTGACAAACTAAAAAAATCTGAAGATTTTTGCACTCGAACATCGGTCATGCAACTCCTGTGTTACTGTGTCTGAAGAATTCCAGCACTGCTGCAACTATGTAGATGATACAGAGGAGGTATAATTAAGCAAATCTCCCACTGACTCATTATGGTCTGTACAGCCGCCATATGGCTGTCTGCTGGTTGCTATGGTGAAGCGGGGGATGTTTTTTCATCGGCTCAGCAGAGAAATAGTGAGTGCTGAGTGCAAGCGACAATGCAGCGAGAGAGTAAAATAAACTTAGGACTGTGATAGACATATAAAGGATTACAGAGACGGAGATTAGGCCATACACAGAGAAAGCTGATGCCAAGATACAGATAGAAAGCCAGAGACTGAGCTACTGATAGTGATAGATAAAAAGATTAATAGAGGCAGAGATGACAAGATGGAAAAGAATCAAAAGATGAGATAAAAGATGATAAAGATAGAAATCCATGGAAGCATGCTGATATAGATAGACCCTAATAAATAAATAAATAAATAAAATCTCCCCTTCTAGGCCATCTCTGTGGGTAGAGGTGGCATTGCTTTCACACCAGGCTCCTATTTCTAGAGCGCTCCTTGGAACCACAGAGACCCAATAACTTTTGAGCAACTGGATCTGCTCTGGTAAGCCAAAACACTGACCCTTTAAATTGAATTTATTTTAGGGGATTAAGCGGCAGAGAGTGAAGTATAGCACGGATGTGTGATGAGACTTTTGTGCTGTATGGTTTAAAAAAGGTTTTCAAAAAACCCTGTGTGAGTCGTTAGCAGCAAATGCTCTCTGTCCGCAGCTTCAGGATGTCACAACAGAACTATGAGCTGACAAACTGGGTATGGTGGCAACATTTAGGGTATACAACCTCATGATACAACGTCATGATACAACGTCATGAATGCTGAAAAGAAAACTGACAAGCAGACTTGGTTTTGATGCACTGCCTTCAGGCTAGGACACTGCAGACTTGTCCACTCAGTACTGCTGTTTTGAATGAAACTGAGGGATGTAGCACACTCATACAGTAGTGACTTGACAAAAACAAGGTAGCCCTGCCCTAAAACTTACCATGCTTTTCCCATCTTTTTCAAAGATCACAGAACCAAAAGGGGCCATTTCCCTTTGATTTCTACACAACCAGACTTTTTTGCAACCACAGGAGACACCCACTGCTGGCTATTAGTAAGAATGTACTTCTGGAACAGCTTTTTTCATCAGTCACAACCATCCAGAGACTAAGATCTTGTCACCAGTCGACATGAAAGCTCAGTTTGACACACAAGTTGATATTTTCTCTCTGTGGCAGTTTGAGAGGCACGATGAGACAGATCTAAAGATGCAGTGCTCAACATTTTCCAAAGAATAATATGCTATAATCTTGCATTTAAGATGATATATCTTGAGATTCTAGTAAACACACGTCCTTTCTAAGCCAAAATCTAATGTGCATTTTTGCCAGACTGACAGAGACTCTCAGTCAGTGTGCAACATGGTCACTAACTGTGCTATCACCGATTATTTAAAAGTAGATACAAAAACAAATAGTGATGTCATGATGGCATCCAAAAAGACAAACAGAATTCATGCATCTGTAAATGCAACAGCAAAATGCAGGACCAAACACAGCCTGTCAGTCCACAAACATCGCATGAAAACGCTCACACACGCTGACTCACTAACCTGTCTTGGTCGGCACTGCGGAAGCGGGGGAGGATCATGTGGCGGAAACTGCTAGTTCGGTCCAGTTTGGGCTGACTCTTGGCCCTCTTGATTGAGCCCTTCAACCTTCTACTGAGGAAACTCTGGAGCGTGGCGGAGGAGGAGAGCGACGACGAAGGCAGACAGATGGAGTGGGAGAGGGAGGAGGAAGTGTGTGGCGCGAAGTTACAGAGACAAAGAAGTGGTTGCCGTGAATCGGAAAAGATGAGAGATTGAGCGGTGATGAGAGGTCGATGTGGTTGGATAGGACAGGAAAGTATGGTATGAATGCGGATGATTTCCGTCATGTCAGCATGGTTTATAACAGATGTATTTGTGTGACGGCAAAATCAAATCGAGAGACAAACACAAATGAAAGACACGATGCATGATGGGGAGAGCACAAGGTACATTTATTATCAACGAGGAATCAACTTGCTACAGAAAATTGCAATGTTGTAACAGATCCTGTGGTGGGCAGTGGTGAACCATTCAGTCCATAAGAACAGCAGAGTCTCACAGTTTGTCCTAAATGAGCTTCCTGGCACGATACAATCAAATATCAGAGAACTGGAACGAGGAATTGTTCATTGATAAGTGTTCGGTACATATTTTACATTTCATTTACAATTATTTTTTGTCTTTCTGGCTGGAAGTGGTTCCATTTTTTGTATATCAGCATAACACTTAAAAACCACCACCCACCAGATTTTGTATCAACAAACTGCATACTGAACCCAGGATCAGAATCTCGTCTACAAGGAGTGTGAGTGTGCAGTTTCCTGTCAATGTGATGGTCATAGAACTAAAAAAAGATGGGACTTTACTTAAGCTTAAAGAAAATGAAGACATTATAGAACTAACAGCAAAATCATTTTACAATTAGTAATCTGTATCAAACCTTTTGAAAACAAAATATATGTTTTCTCTGTTTTTAAACCATATATTGTAAATAAACTGTTTTTGGTCGAGACTGTTGGTAATGCAAACAAGCTAGTGAATGAAGTCCCCTTGGACGATTATATCACTTTTTAAAACATTTGTAGACTTCCTGATTTCACACCCTGTGTTTGCAGACCTCAGATGTTAACGTTACACTCATTCCTGTAATAGTAAATTTAAATGTCCCCAAATATGCATGAAATATCATTACATGCTTTTTCTTCCACTGTCCCCTGAAGACGCTTTGCCCATTCAGCTTTTAGGTGCATCCTGAAGTGCTATCATTTCTATACCTACAGCATAACGACATTACTCAGTGGGAGAATGACTGGAGGGAAATGACACCTTGTCATGTGGCATGAGTCATATGGCTTTGAAGCCTGTCTTGAGGATGTGACTAAAGACTTGGCTCCATCTGCTGGTTCCAACCTAATAGTCTGCATGACTAAATCTGATTTGATTAGCCGCTCCGTCTGACACGTTAAGTCTCAAAAAGTAGAAAGTCTTTAATTCAAAGAGTGAGAGAAAATCCCGAAAGCACAATAAAGCACAATAAAGAGAGCTAAGAGGAGGCCCGCGCTTTAGCTTCTGTGGCTGTGTTTGCTGTTCTGCACTTTGTTACTGGCTCAGCTTTGGGTTCATTCCAGGTTACTGGTGTCGTTTAGTGTTCCAGCTCATTTGCTGCTGCGCATGTTTAATAGCTGTGTGTAATTAGTTATTAATTTTTTAAAACACTAATTGTCAAACATGAAATGAAATTCTGTCTGAGTTGAACAATATGCTCAAAATGGCGACTGATGTCTTAGCAGGAGATTTATTCTGATGCTTACTTTAGCGTTAATGCTATTTTACACTTGTTACAGCTTGGGGATGATTGATGCTAAATTATATTAAATTACCCAATTTATCGGTTTTGTTAGTTTCCTGCGCAACAATAAATGTAATAAGTCCACATTTTTTGCATCTCTAGAACAGATGTGGCAAGTTCAAAGTCAGCATGACCCACGGAGTCATGGAACACAGCAGCATTTAGAGAGAACAAGACAGACTGAACTAAACTGGAATTATCTGTTAAGCAGGCACTTGTCCCCAGGCTAAGTATGTTTTGCCTTAGGTAAGACGTTGCCGTGGGAAAGCATTCTTATACTGCCATTCTGTCACATGCTGCTGGCTTCACAGAGATGCACACAAGGTCTCCCATGGCATCTGTGCCTTGACATGATGGTCAGGGTAATTTGTAGATGCTGAGAGGTAATGATCCTCTTCTAAAGAGGAACAAAGTTTGGAGGGGAAGCCGGAAAGCTGGAGTGGTGGTGGAACAACAGAAGAGGGTTGTGGCTTGTGTCCCATTTGCAACTCGATTTACTTGCTTTTTACTTTCACTTTCAGATGCTGGTTATTAGTGTTTAGGAAAAAAATGTGGCTTGAGTTAAATATGCTTTACCAGTGTGTTTAAATGTGACAGTAAAAAGGTTCAGGATTTGATGGTTCAGGAGAGAGAATGGTCTGGCCTTCAAGACTGACGCCAGGGATCAAAAGCCTCCTGTAAAGCAGTACTACCAGAGCTTTAATGCAAGACTGTCCCGTGCTTGGCTGCACTTCTGATGAGCAGAATTTGTACTGATAAGAATTTGTGCCTATTTTTAAGGGATACAGTAACAGTTCTGCTAGATTTAATTGCAATAATGATTTTTTTTCCTCCAGGTTTCAAGTGACTTGCATTAAACAAAGTGTGAGTTAAAAATCAGAATGACCTTTTTTGTCACTGCTGAAAAGTTTTGTTTGAATCTTGTGTTTCCAATATGGCATTTATCCTGTCCCTCAGGACTGCTTATCACATCACATAGGATGAAATATTGATACAACAAACACTCATCTCAGCCACTATGAAAAAAATGATGAAATAGAAAAAAACTCTGATCAAGCCCAACTGAGCCTTTACATTTCCTGTAATGGACTATCTTGCTTCTGTAATTTCCAAGTCAGTGGCGGCTATTTTTCATACTGCAGCAGTGAATGGGCAGCAAATAGTTTCCTGTGATGGGAGGAAAACACATCCTGCCGTTCCCAGCTACAGTAACGGTGTGCAAACACCAGCAGAAATAATGGAAAAGGAGATGGGCAACATAGACTGCTGGCACAAACTTAATAAGACACCAGTCAATCCTCTAAGCCCCTTCGCGTTAACATTTGATACCTTGTGATTGAGTTTCTGTTGCCATTAATGAAACAAAAACAGATTATTTGTGCCCGCAGACACAAAATGTTTCGTGTGTCAGCTGCCTGCTTCTTCTCTGACAGACATCGTGTCTGGTTTAAAAAGAGTCACGATGATCCCAGAAATAATAGTGACACAACCTTTTTATGCTGCTCATCTTCATTTGACTTTAATGAATCATAGCAGGCATCTGGTGCATTTTAGCCTATTTACTACGAGTCACATTTACTTTATATCACATTTGCAATGTTTCAGCTCTTTGAAAAACCAGAGCATTTTCTTCTTATTAGTGGATATAGTCTCAGACCCTTGGTACAGATGACATTTAGACTGAGTAGTGTATTTTATTGCAATCTAGTTTTTTAAAAGTATTTAAAAAGCATTCTCTTCTCCTTGATCTCCTTGGCCTTTGCCTGCTGCAGTTTCTGGATTTATTCATTTAATGTTTACTAATTAATAACAGTTTTAGTTTTGTGAACTGCCTTTGTAGGTCGAATGCAATCTGGAATTTAAATGCATTCCTCTCAGTTTTTCTAAAGACAAACAAAGAACTTAAAAGCCCACATAAAATAACAGAAGCCATTATAAAAGCACAAACAGATTAAACATAAATGTAATGCTAAAAATGAAATAACTCATTTAGAATGATTATTAGAAACATGATTCATTTTCTTATTTTTTTTGTATTGCCTTCTTTTTTTGTATATTTTCATCCATTTATCATCCAGCAGTTTTTTTCCTGCTGGGGAGTCTTGGCTTGTCTCATGCCCTGTAAAATATTCATGAAATTCAATTATTTTATATCCTTAATAATGCTCATGCAAACAAACAAATTAACAAATTGCTGTGCATGTCTTTTAAAATCTGATCTGTACTTAGGCTAATCTCTATTATTGCACAACGATGAAGTAACTTTGACAAACATTAATGCTGATGAATAGGTCCATTAAAGCATTAGTCAGACAATTGATTTTCATATTTTTGCAATAAGAATGGAGAATAATGCCCATCTGGAATGATGTGAATATAAATATAACATTAGACAAAATATATACCTTCAATTTCAAAATACTTAGTTAAAAGCTTTTAAACAAACTGGTGTTAAGCTTTTAAATGTGCGCCTGCTAGCAATAACAGCAGCCTAATTGTGTGAACGTGTTTCTTTCATGCACATTCCTAGCTGTCGGGCCAAAAGCCGCCTGTATGAGTGTGGGTGTAGCATGCAAAAATAGCCAGTGTCTCTGCTTCAGCCATGTTTGTGTCACATACCTCAACAGGGGGCAGTGGTGCAATATATGCTCCTCCCGCCACTGGACTCGAACCGGCAGCCCTCCAGTCTCCGCCCCAGTACAAGAAGGGGGGGGAGGAGGAGGAGGCGGCAGGCGAGTGAGGCAGGGTGAAGGACAGGGAGGGGGAGAGGGGCAGCGAGCGGGGCAAGGGGGGCGTGCCGGAACCTTTCTTGAAGCCCTTTTGCTGCTGCGGCTGCTGCTGGCAAAAGGCGAGGGAGGGGGAGACGGCCAGGGAGAGAGGGTAAGGGTGAGGCGGGGTGCCGCTGGCCCGACGGCCACAGGTGTGCGGTGGACCCAGGGCGGGAGGAGGGAGGAGGGACAGCGAGAGGGATGGAGGCAGCGAGCGAGGCCGGGAACAGTGGGGGTTACTCACGGATTGTCGGAAGGGTTGAAGGGGGGCAGTGGGAGGGACCTCCATGCTGGGCTGCTTCCCGGTGGCTATGCTCTTCCGCCGGGCGCGATGATCTGCGAAAAGGAGAGGAGGTCATTGGGTAAGACACTATTATACATCCGTGGAAGGAAAACATCAATGGTAATATGAGGCCAGGACACAAAAATTGCAGTGCAGGACACAGGTAGAGCCAGAGGATGTGGACAAAGTAATGTGGAAATAAACAGCTGCGGGACAGCCGATATTGACATTCTGCCTGAAGGAACCAAAGAATATGAGAGCTCGATAGAGGTCAAAGGTGAGCGAGACAGAAATAAAACCATGCAAGGTCACACCCATTCACCAGCATCACTGCAGATTCTGCCGCTACACAGAAACTCTTATGCACTTTCATCTGTTGAGAGTGTGGGGGCTGACAAAGTGGAGAGATAGATTTTCTGTCTGGTTGTCAGCTGAGGCAAATGTTAACAGTCTGAATGTTGAGGGGAGGAACTGGGAGATGCATGGGTAGAGAGGCGCGAGCATTAAACAAACAAAACACTTATCGACTTCCGTCTCTGAGTCAGTACATAATGCAGCAAATTGTCCAGTAAAGAAATAAAGTTCTGTCCTACACTTGATGGATGATGGAGAGAGTGTGGATGCACACAGAGAGGAGCAAAAACAAAACACAGGAGGCCAACTAACGGATCAAAAAAACAACAACAGAAAAAAATTTAAAAATTTACTCAAAAATTCACTGACTGTGAATTTAAAGTATTGCCTACTTTGATCTTTGTGTCTTTCACTTTTGTCCTCCCACCAAATGCTAATTCTATCTCTGTGTCTCTGCACCAAATGTCTGCACTCTCAATGGGACTTCACAGGATATAATTACATATACACAGTTTTAATTAATTGCTTTTACCTACAAATCAATAAATTGTAGATTCATAAGATACATGGAGGATTTTGTTAATTACGTACAAACCCTTTCTTCCAGTGGAAAAAGAAATGATTAAAACCTCATTTTTATTAAGCTTCGTGTGGCTTTCCAAAACTGAGATAATAGTTTACATTTTCAAACAGCTGTTTGTTGGTTTATATGTCAATAGGGCTGCCACAAACGATTATTATGTCACAGATTATTTTTGCAACTAGTCAACAAATCAGATCATGGACATAAAACGTGCAGCTTATTGCACCAGCAGCATCTGCTCTTATATAACTATCATTAGCTTACAGCTTGAAGTGTTTAAGGTATGTGCTAACTGAACTTTGCAGATTATCTCGGTGGAGTTTAATAAACTTCGCCATCTGCTCCTCGCTTGCTAATACGTAGCATGACACTGGAGAAAATTCTCGACCACCTCACACTTGTGTTTAATGAGTTTACTGTTTAACGTTTATTCAGCTGTGTGAAAACTATAACTTTAATCTTAGCCAAACTGATTTACTCAAGAACAAATAAAACACTGAAAAAAGCCAAACAATAATATTTTTAAGTTATCTAAGTGACTTGTATATCATGTTTAACCTGAGTAGCAAAAGACCGCGGGGGGTTTGAAAACGATGTGCTGGGAGTTCGCTGTTCTCGCTGACCTCCCGGTGAGCTATTGAGCTAGTGGCTAACAGACGTTTCCGAAAACATCGGCGCACTTTTGCAAATATGTGATGTCTTGATAAATCGAGCAGATATTGCCTCGCCTGAAATTAGCTTAAAAGTTTATTTTGTGACCAAGAAAGAGTATTATTAAAACTAAGTAGCTGCCGCCATTGTTGGAAAATGGAATTGGCTCGGCCGCGCTATGAATTCTGGGCCACGGACACACCCGACTCTGGGGAAAAGGAGGACGCATTTATTGGATGCATTTATTGGACGAGTCTTTGAATTTGGACAATTGCTGTAATGTAATCGGCCTACAAATGCGGCTTCTTCTTTGGCGTTTAACGGCAGCTGGCATCCTTGCGTCTTTCAGGATCTTACTAAGCTTCAAACGACCCATCGACTATTAGTGACTATCAAAATCGTTGACAACTAATAGTCTTCGACGATTTTGATAGTTGATGTAATCGTGACTAGTCGACTAATCGTGGCAGCCCTATAGGCCAATAAAGATTTACAGGAAGAAATCTGCGACACAAGTAAATAAATAAAATCTCCTAAGAGTTAAAGAAGTGACAAGCATCTATATATAATAACGTCAATGAATAAAAGACAGGTGAGAGTATTGTAAGGATGTGTAGTACTCACTTATAATTCTGCCTTGAAATTTCTGTGCACTCATTTCTAATTTATACAATTTTGTTTACAACATACCACACAGCTGAATACTGCTGAATACTAGAAAAGTATATTTTTCAGTTGCATGAATGGAGGGAAAAAGCACCATTACAATATGCCAACTAACACATAGCAACTTTTGCTGCTCTAACAGCAGAAACCGGCTAACGATGGTTAGCTAAGTATCTTCATAAACTGTACCAAAAGCTAAACCTTTCTAGCAACAGAAAAAAGAATGACTTCTTAACAAATTCAACACAGTTGTAGCGACCTTTCTGTGTTCACTAAGGTAGAGGCATGTTAGAGGCACAACAAGACTTGTTGCAATGCTAACATGCTTACCAGTTATCATCTTAGCTTATGCTAATTAACAGTAAACACAAAGTGCAGCAGAGGCTGTCATTAGTTTGGCAAATCTGATGGTGGTACAAAAGGAAAGCAGTCTCACTGTCTGTCTACATATAGGCTAAAACTGGCGTGCACTTTTATCAGCCTTAATAGCTGCCATGTGCCTATTGACAAGTAGCCACTATTTATCTGTTGTGTCACATCAGTTCTTTGCTGAGTAAAAAAATATTGTAAGAAAGAGAAGAAAGACTTATGCGGAAAATAACAACCAGATCAAAACACCACTGATATCAGGACTAGCTGGAGGACAAATTATTTTCAATTTGATATGGCGATGAAGGCAAACAGTAAGGGGCGGGGATTAATCAATATATATATTATATTGCCAAAATTATTTACTTACTCATCCAAATCATCACTCTATGACTTCAGGTGTACACAATCAAGCACCTAGTCATGCAGACTGCTTCTACAAACATTTGTGACAGAACGGGTCATTCTCAGGTACCATGACGAGACGCATGGATTTCTTCCCTACTAAATATTCCACAGTCAACTGTTAGAAGTATTATAACAAAGGTGGAACAACAGCAACTCAGACATGAAGTGAAAATAACAGAGCGTGGTCAGCAGATGCTGCACACAGATCCCCAACTTTTTGCAGCCTTAGTCACTATAGGCTTCCAAAAACTACGTGCAGAGAGCTTCATGGAATGAAGTTTTCATGGCTGAGCAGCTGGATCCAAGCCTTACATGACCAAGTGCAATGCAAAGGATGCAGTGGTATAAAGCTCGCTGCCACTGGACTCTAGAGCAGTGTTCTCTGGAGTGACAAATCATGCTTCTCCATCTGACAGTTAAATGGACACGTCTGGGTTTGGCGATTGCTAGTTCAGCGGTACTTGTCTGACTGCATTGTGCTAAGTGTAGTTTTGTTTGGTGTGAAAGAACTTTACTGGCCTGCACAGAGTCCTAACCTTAACCCGATAGAATACCTATGGGATGAATTAGAGTGGAGAGTGTGAAGCAGGTGCTGTAGGTGCATAAATCATTTTAGCTCGTTTTTATCTGACATAGAATCAAACTTTCAGGAGATTTGGTAACTCAGGGGACCTTAAGCTGTGCCCACACTGGAAGTGTTTCGCTTTGAAACTGACATCTGGTCACTTGCTGACATTCCAGGCTCTGGTCGCCAAGGTAACCTTCTAGGTCAAGTGTCAATCAACGTGGCAGTCGGTAACCCCTTCAATTGCTTGTCTAGTAGTTAAGGAAGGTTTATTCCAGGTCCCGCCCACTTCCCGTTGCCAGGAGTTATTTCGCCTATAGTTGCTTGAAAAATCTAAAAATGTCAGTTTCAGTGGTTTTTGGTCACCATGGCGCTGCCAATCACTTGCAATATAGACGCAGCTTAAGATTGGTTGGTCGACTCCTGACGATGAAAGTGCAGAGACAGAGATTGCAGATATTATGGTAATATTAGACATTACCATCTGCAGAGCCAAACCACTGAGATGGCTGAAAAGATTTTAATAAAATCCAGAGCCACGGTAAATATGTAGTTACCACAAGCTACCATGTTTCATCATTCTTAGAAAAGGATCACCATACCAAACCTGCTTAAATCATCACTTTTACTATGCCAAAAACTCATCAGGAAGATGCCTATGAAAGCCTACTTTAATCCTGTTTTAATCAGACATTCTTTGTCCAGTTTTTCCCTTTACTTTCAGCACGGCCCTCTGAAAAGACCTGCAACACGCTAAATGTGATGAATGTGATACAGGTAATAAATTGGTTATATGTGTTGAAATTTCTGGTATTGTTTTCCTGTATTTCAGCCCATCTCACATCTTTTCACATTGATCATGCTGGTATCTGTGCTCTTTCCTTGCTTTCTCCTTCTCTCAGCCTCTTCTGTCACACTCAGACACACACACGCCTCCTCTCTCCCACGCAGCTATTTTACATAATTCAAATAGTGCATTTACCCTGCTACCTCTCCTCAGCCCTTGATCTTTCTCTCTTTCTTTCACCTCCTTGCACCCTCTTGTTCCCTCCCCTTCAGATATGTGCATCATGTAGATGCCCTCCATTTTCTTCATACTTACCTTTATCTGGATTCCTCTTTTATCCTCATCGGCCCTCTGCTCTCATTCTCTGTCATTTACCTGTCCAAATGGCAATCCTTTCACTGTGAGCCTGCCCCTCTTTCTGCCTGCAGTGTTCTCCTACCCACACAAGGTGGGAAAAATAAATGACCATCACGGAGTTTGTCGGAAAACGCACCAAGATCCCCTTCCCCCCAAAATGTACACCTTCAAAATTTACCACCTGTAGGCTGGATGACAGGCAAGTGGAGGAGTCTTAAATCTGTCACGGAAGAAGAGAAAAATCTACAATAAAATGTGACACTTCTGACAGCTGATCATAATTATATAAAAAGTTATTTTGATGGTTATATAA